TGTATGGGCGACACCGGATTGTGTTTGACACATGGCAGTGTATGGGCGACACCGGATTGTGTTTGACACATGACAGTGTATGGGCGACACCGGATTGTGTTTGACACATGGCATTGTATGGGCGACACCGGATTGTGTTTGACACATGGCAGTGTATGGGCGACACCGGATTGTGTTTGACACTATTGAGTTTATATCGTGCACGTTTTAGAATGTGTTTGACACATGTTATGTATTTTTAACTGACACGTTAGACTGCCGTTTTGAATTTTTTAGTTTTTTGACACCTTCGATTTGTGATTGAAAATTTTGATTTGTGATTGACACATTAGATTTGCACTTGAAACTTTCATATTTATGTTTTATCCGTGATTTTGTGGCTGATACCTTTGATTTGTGTTTGACACAATATAGTTGGTTTTGAATCTTTTAAGTTTGTGTTTCATTTGTGATTTGTGTTTGACACTTTGTAAAATATATTTGACATATAAGAATTGTGTTTGAAACTTTAAGGTCCGTGTTTCACTAATAATTTCCAGTCATTGACGGCATTTATGGCGCTCCCAATGGACGGAAGAACACTGTCTTACTCAGGGAACTGTCAAATTTCGGCGTCTGGTCGTAGTGATTTCCATCCTGATCCCCCGCACGTTTACAGCTTACTTCACGTATCACCATGGTAAAGATGTCAAGGAGCGGGCAACTTAAAAAGGAAGAAAACAATACGATTGCACATTTCAGTATGTAGTTCTAGTCACGAGGTCATGAACGAACCTTGATTAAGTCGGGGATGGTTTGCATTCTGTGTTGAAGTTTGATTATGATTGTCTCCAGAATTGATTCATTTGCAATAACTTCTAGAAATACGAACTAAGGATGCATCTTTTAAATAAAACATTTTTTTTGTTTCAGAAAGCCAAACAAAGATAATATGTTCACTGCAATGTAATGCCAGTTCGTCCGGGTAAGATAAATTGACATTACCGAGAGGAAAAAGAGGAAAAAGCGTGTCTAAACGCTGCAAAAGTATAAACTTAGAGTGAAAACTTCTGTAGATTCATTTTGTTGAAATAACATAGGTCTTCCTAAAGTTTGATATGAGCAAATTCCTAATATCGTCCAATAGTATAGGTGTCAAAATAACGATCTCTTCAAAATATACTCAGTCTTAGTTTAAATTTTCTGACAAGTACCTACATTCCAGTTAATATCTATATACCAAATGAATGGCTATACTTGTGTTTTACAAAAGGATTTTAGCTGTGAAAAACAAAAATAAAAAGTTATATTTCTCATCTCAAAGCTAAATTTTGATAATACATTTTTAATATAGTGATAAGCGCTAAAACCTCTCGAGCAATGGTTTTTATTAAGTAGCTTATCTATAATTTTATCAAGATATTAACACATATCCTGTAATTCAGATGATATATCAGCATTACAGTTCAATTCAGCCAATCAATGGGAACATTTTACATCAGAATACTTTCTTAAGATGGAGACGAATCGTCCGTGGCCTAAAGCTATGTATTTTTTCTTCAAATAGTAAATGCAAAAACAATATCTTTTTTCGAAAAAATGGATTTAGTACATAAAACTATTTTGTCAGTCATCTTTGAAATCGCTAAACACAAACAACAAAATTAACAACCCCCACACCACCAAAAAAGACGTTATTCAAAGTCAATGTCGATGATACAATGCATTTTGTCAACACTAATTTGCCCTAGTTTCATCTCATGAATACAGCCCCGAACACAGAGCATATCATTAACCACATCACAAACATAAGGTACGATGCAATTTTTTCTGTAAAAGGTAAAGAATATTTACCAAATAATGATTCATTATGATTCGTGAGTAAAGTATATAATGAAAGTATAAAAGACATTTCAATGGATACATTTCATTCGTACCTTTCCCCATATTGTTTCAGATTCTCCACCAGAGACTGTATAAACCAGGAACCCTGGTTATCATCCCTGAACGCTGGTAATCCAAGTCGGGTAGGAAAAAATACCAAGAAGTCAGCCTCGTTCGGAGAATTTCCTTCCAGGAAATTGGTGTTCACTTCCCGGAAATTAGTGTTCGATCCTGGCTGTAGTGGCACGATATCGGCTTGTAGATCGTGTCCTTGAAGGAATTAAGCGGCGATACATGATAAATGACACTATTGTTGAAGTTATTCTCTCTGGTATAGAGCAGAAACAAATACGATTTTTTTAATCCCTGACCCATTGCACTGTCGTTTTTAATACATTAAGTAGGCTCCCTTGAATTTCGTTTTGGATATTTGTGTAGCACAGTTATTTCCGTTTATTTCATTAGTGTCCTGCAAGGTATGGTTTTTGTTTCAGAAATGATTAATAAAAGCTATAACCATGCCGAAACAAAATCAAACAGACAAAACATATTAATAAAAAACATGCAAAGTTAACGATTTTTTGGCAGTGCTTTGGTCCTTACATAGAGACTACAGATATATTGTAATATTCACAACACCAACAACAGTCCCTTTAACAAAGTAAAGTTCAATTAACAAACACTTTATTAATGAAGAATCGCTATACTTACCGAAATGAGATTGATTTCCTTGGCATGCTTGGAGAAAGAACAATTTTGGTTTTCCACCTAATGTAGAGCATTTGCGGGCATGCAATCTCTTGAATATCGATTCAAACTGAAATGAATGGCCGTTTGCGTCATAAAGCTTTCCTTCTGAACCATGGGTGAGTATGCAGAACACAAAACAGTCAAATGACGAATGGTCCCGCGAGGCGTATCCATCTGTTATGGTCGTAATGTCGGCAATAGTTTTGTCGTCATGGCGGTCAACTATGAAACGAAGTTTTTCAAAAGCATCTTGCAGGCCTTCTGTAATTAGAGCACAAATATTATTTGGAAATGCATACTTATTTGTCAGAGTGTGGTAAACTACAATGAGAGTGACTTTTTTATGTGAAAATTAGACTAATCTGTATGACTTTCTGTCTTTTCATGTCATGAAAGGTAATTCTGGAGAAACAGTCTAACCAATGTAAACTCTTTAATAAGTATAGTATACCCTCTGTTCTGCAGGAGTATGAAAAATGTCTCCGTATCTTACCGTTCTATCAGCTATTCCACAACGTGACCGAAACCCTCTTAAACCACCTGTTTCCATTGGTCACAGTAAACGATTTTGGACACACAACAAAAAGTCTGTATCCGACTGCAGCGATCGTGACTGCTGATACAGGGTAACAAGCTTCCGTAAGTACTGGGGAGCTGTCCCATCCTGTGCCTTGTATGTGCGCACCAAAATTATGTACAGCGACCTGTATCGTACTGGTAACCAGTGCAATGAATATAGCACTGGTATTTACAGGTAGTTACTTAACGTGCTGCAGTGTTCTGTACCCTCTGCAGACGACTTGTTAATTGTCCCACAGAACAGGGCATTACCATAGTCCAACTGAGAGATAACAAGTGAATGCATCAAAATCTGTCATAAAACTGCAGTAACTGTTACAAACTGCCGAATATATCCGATGTTCATGATCTTGCAGTAACATGATTTGGCAATAGCGTTCACTTGTTTCCCCATGTTCAGTTAGCTATCAACGTCTACCTCTATATTTTTTAACGGCTAGGACAGTCTCAATAGTTCTGGCATCTACTTTGAACTGGGGAGCCATTGTTTGCTGACACTTCGAGGAAAAGTCGATTAGATCTTCTGATATTGTATCCCAACTGTCCTGTGGTTTAATTACCATGTGAATTTGAGATTTGTTATTATAACAATGACAGCGAAAGCAATGGCGACGACAAATCTCTCTGATCGGTGTTGAATATAGGCAATACATGTACATGTCATCGTTCTGACATTTCCTTATTATACTAGTGGATTGTATAAAATAGATTACAAGGAACTGATTTCGCATACCTGCATCCTTACTAGAACCTTGGCGATTTTCCAGCTTTATGCTTGTCGGGTCACCGGGAACTTTGTAAAAAGTCTCCATATTAAATATCACTGCGTAACCTGTCAAGATATAATAAAAAATACATTATCTTCTAAAACACAATCATCTTGTTAACTAAAAATTACCAAAAACATCTTCTACAATCCTCCGATCTCTGTATGTTGTGGTGATGTTTTTTTCAAATTCGCCATATTTTTAAAAAGAAGGATATAATTTGTGTCCTGTCAAAACAATCAGAATACCTCTTGGATTTCTTGTCATTGGATATTCCCCCTGTGTCGCTGATTTGGTTTCTGGAACAAAAGATAATCGAAAAGTAAAATCTTCAAATCCCTTTTCTGATTTCATGATCGTAGTTTCCCTATTACAATTTAAATCACATTCCTCCTGAATATATAATTTGTGTTCCATTATTGATCCGCTCCGCGAATGGTAAGTTATGAATTGTTGCGCCCTTTTGGCCAATGACCTATTGAAGCCTGAATTTTTTCATGAAAAGCTACTTTACATGAAGAATGTGTTACGACAGTTTACCCGATTTCGAACTGTATCATTTTTGACATTATGAAAACCATATTCTGGAGTGATTGCTTTTCTCTTACAACCAACATCGGTTTCCAAACCCCCAACTCAATGGATAAACCTGATAGGAGTTTGCAAACAAAATGGTTACCCATTAGTGGACGTGATTTCATAAGTCAATTTTCAAATTTTGACGTCAAGTTGTAATGCCTTACGACGTCATATTATATTGTGTTTTCAAATAAAAAAAAATCATTTATGTTATGTATTTCAGAGAGAAACGTATGATTTTCTAGATATAATATCTGAACGTTGCTGGAAAAAAGGCCCCAACTCCTGACGGTTGACGAGTTTTCAAATTAAAAAAAATAATTGTTAAACCTCGTGTCTTTATCCAACTTGAAACTTAAATAACTCAGGCTAGATACTCAAGATAACCTAACACATCTCCTCGGAAAACATCTATATCTTTGCAATATTTTTGCTTTCACGTGCGGTTTTCTGGTATTATTGATAGTATGTTTTTTTGTATGGGTTTTGGTGTGTTTTCTTTTGTTTTTAATACCCGTTATTGCTGTTTTGAAACGACGTTGAGTTTTGAGTTATCCATTTTTTATTGACACTGTGGTATTTATTTTTAATGTCATTATACCTAGTATTGATACAGACACATTTTAATGGTAAGATTAACAATTCATTTGATCATGCATCATTACATAAAATTTAGCTTTGCTTGTATGAATTGTTAAACTTACCATTAAAATGTGTATCTGTACAAGTTGTGTCGTCAATTTCAGGTTTGTAACCAACCACTGAAACAAAATCAAATTTGCAGTTACGGCGTAGTTGAAAACGATTAACGAAACAAAACAACGGTAACCTGAATGAAAACTATATAAAGTTAGTTAGTCAGTTATGCATTTTCCTTCTCAATTGAATTAATCATCATTTTGATCAAAAAAGATTATTATCGAACGAGCCTATTAATGATATTTTTATTCTTATATATCTTGTATATGCCTGTAAAATATCTTTGAAACTGTACGTCGCAACTACGCGTGGTTTTTAGGAAATTCTAAAATCAGCTCATGTGTGACTTGATTGAATGTTTGATAAACCTGTGGTTGGAACATTCATTGACGCATCAACGATGCATTAGAGCAATGCATATTTTGGCAAATGATGTGATGGTCATATAACACACATTGCTATTGATGACAACTAATAAAGTCCGACAGGGCTTTACATCAGTTTGTTAGCAATAGAAATGTGTGTTATAGGACCATAACAGTATTTGCTTAAATACTCATTATTCATATTTACATTAGGATAGAGTAGTTAAGCTTTATTTAGTTATTTCGTCGAACAGTCCTTTGAACAGCAAATAAAGTGTTGACAACAATGAAATTGATGACGTCACAATAGAAATTAATGATGTTACAATAGCAAATGTTGTTATAGTCTCCTAACAACATTTGCCCTCTCAATGCATTCCAATGGAAGTATACAGAACAAATGTAAATATCCTAAAATATAAATTTCAAAATCAGTTAAAAATATAGTCATTGCTCGCAATGTTATGACAGTTGATACATTTGTATGATCATGTGATAAATTATTATAGTAAACATTAATGACGTCACACACTGTCTACACATGAAGCCTGAGAGGGTTCGTCATTTCCACTGGGAGAGAAGACGTTGAGGTAATATATTCCATCATCTTTTTCTAGCACCCGAGTTTCCATTTCA